GGATATCCATAACATCGAAGATTTAACTGACAAATGTAAGAGAATTGAAGAAACTCTGTCTTGGTCTTCTCATCCTCCGACCTCGTCTCGACCTACATCAGGTCCTTCATCCACTCCGTATCAATTTTCAAATCGATCATGGCATCAGAAATCTAGGGAGTGTAACATGTCGGTTTTAAATTCTAATTTATTTTTGTCATTGAATGACCATTAAATTGCCATGAAGCTGGACACACATTTTATGAGTGTGGAAAACCAAGGACACATATATTTTGTCATGGTTGTGGGAGAAATAACACTCTCAAGAGGAATTGCTATAAGTGTTCGGGAAACGAGCAGACCGAGGCTCGTACCCTGAGCGTTCCTCCGTCTACAATCCCATCACGGAGTACAACCACCGTCGTGGAAGGAAATGTAGGTCAAGCAGGGCCCAGCAATTCAAGGTCAGGTCCCCTATCAGAGAAACAATCTGCAAAGCGCAAACGCCACAACAAGTCTAATCAAGCAAAAAGATAACTTGGAAACCCAAAGCACTCCATTCGGACGTTCTCAATTCTAGAGTTTCTTCTCCTTTAGTAAATGTTAAGTGTAATTATGTTAGTAATATGGACCAGGAAACAGTTCTGTCATCTGTACCGAGTTTTGATATTAAAAATGATAATGATAGTTCTATATTAGTACCTTATAATGACTATTCTATATCTAGAGTCTCTGGCTTAGATATAAATTCTTTATTAGTTAAGAAATGTAACGATAATCGACCATATCTCCAAATTGAGATTCTAGGAGAATCTTGTTTGGCATTATTGGATAGTGGCTCTAATATTTCATTATTAGGTTCTCATTCATTGGAATTGTTAGATAAAGCTAACATTAGCGTATCACCTATTTCCTCCCTGCAAAGTCCCACCGGAGATGCAACAATCCAATCTATAGTAGGTAAATTTGAAACTGAAATTTTAGTGGCTAATATCAGGAGAAACATTACGTTCTATATAATACCTTCTGTACAAAATTCCATAATTCTTGGCATGGATTTTCTAAATATATTTAATAGTACTTTAGATTGTTCAGATTTTTCATTGTGTATTTCTCCACTGAATTTATCCACTCTTACTGCCATTCATAATTTCTCTACTTTATCGGTTTTAGAACAGCAACAATTAGAGTCCATTATGTCCAAATTTTCTTCGATCTCTTCGAAAGACAAATTAGGCCGTACCTCTCTAATCTCGCACACTATTGAGGTAAATACGTCTACTCCATTTAGACAATATTAATATCCTATACCTCAAGTGTGGCAAGCAGACTTGGAAAAAGAGATTGATTCAATGCTTTCTTTAAATATTATAGAACCATCGACTTCTTCTTATTGTAGTCCACTTTGGTTAACTAAAAAGAAGGATGGATCCTTCCGAGTTTGTTTTGACGGTCGCAAGTTAAATAGTATCACTGCTAACAGGGATGCCTATCCTATCCCCAGAATCGATGTCATCTTAAGCAAACTCCGGAGAGCCAAATATATCTCTTCTATTGACTTATCCAAAGCATTTCTACAAATTCCTTTAAGTGAAGAAAGTAAGAAATATACTGCTTTTGCTGTCAGTGGTAAAGGTCTCTTTCAATTTGTCACTATGCCTTTTGGTCTTGTATCAGCTCCTCAGACCATGTGTCGTCTGATGGACTTAGTCATTGGTCCACAATTGGAACCATATGTGTTTTATTACTTAGATGACATTATAGTTGTAACTCCTGATTTTGATTTACATATTGAGATTTTAGAGAAAATGTTTTCTCGCCTTCAAGAGGCGAATTTAACAGTTAATATAGAAAAATGTAACTTCTGTAGTCCTAATCTTAAGTTTCTGGGATATGTTGTCGATAGTCGAGGTTTGCAGACAGATCCTGATAAGGTAACTGCGATCAAGGATTTTCCAATACCGAAAACCACTACCCAACTACGTAGGATCTTGGGAATGTGTGGGTATTATCGTCGGTTTGTACATTCCTACTCCACTTACTGATTTCCTTAAAAATAGGAAAAAGGGCCAGACTATTATATGGACTTCTGAAGCTGATAATGCCTTCCGGCTTAAAGAAGCTCTCACTAGTGCTCCTGTCATGATGTCTCCAGACTTTAACGAACACTTTTATCTCATGACAGATTGTTCCAATACCGCTTCAGTTGGTGTCCTCTTTCAGATGGAAGATGGAGCGGAACACCCTATAGCTTACACTAGTAAGAAGCTCAACAAGGCTCAGAAGAGCTATTCCACTACAGAGCGTGAACTCCTAGCTATTATTCATGGCTTAGAGGCGTTCCGGTATTATTTAGAGGGTCGTAAGTGTACACTCATTACCGATCATAGCTCTTTATTATGGGTACATTCCATGCGTAACCCATCACAACGTTTATTCCGTTGGATTTGCAAACTATCAGCTTTTGACTATAACATCGTACATCGCAAAGCCAATGGTGTCGTAGTAGCTGATGCCTTGTCGCGTACTTTTGATGTTAATATTCTTGATTTGTCTAATTTAATTCCGGATGCATGGCATCAAAAGATGTTGGTTAGGGTTGCTCAAGAACCGGATCGGTATCCGGATTTCAAGGTGGAAAACAATGTTCTTTACAAACGTATTAGTTAGTTCCACAGGAGTTTTAAGTAATATGTCGGATTGGAAAATAGTAGTCCCCACAGCAAATAGGGATGAAATCTTGACTTCATTTCATGATAATGTGACAGCAGGTCACTTTGGTTTTTATAAAACATTTAGTAGAATAGCTGAATTATAGTATTGGCCTGGCATGCGGTATGCAATTAAACGGTATATATCCAGATGTAAAGTTTGTGCTGCATGCAAGCCCAGGAATTTGCCACAAGCTGGATTAATGGGTTCCTTTAAGAACATTAATTTCCCATGGCAACTTAATCTCTATGGATCTTATTGGACCATACCCCCGTAGTTACAATGGGAACACATATTGTTTGGTAGTCGTAGACTATTTCACAAAATTTCCGTTAAGGCGCCCACCCACTCAGAAGGAAGCGCGAAGGATTGAGTGTGCATGGCAGGGGTACAGTTAAAAGTGTGTGTCTGTATAACGAAAAATGTGGAATGCGCAATCAAGCCTCTTAAAATCAGAATCGTCTTGATTTTTAGCGTGTGCAATTATCATCGCGCGGGGAAGAACGAGAGTATGTGGGCAACAAGTCTCTGCATGTTTCATTTTCAATCTGTACGACTGTTCGTTGGATGTTGCATATTATTAAGCCTTATATAATTTTATGAGAAAACAAACACTTAATTAAAAACCATGAATGATATAAGGTGCATGTCGAGAGAGTTTATTACGGAATTCGTAGAGCTATACAGAAGTTATCCCTGTTTATGGCAGATTAAAAACAAAGCATACAGTGATCGTCAGAAAAAAATAAAGCCTACGAAGAACTAATTAAGAAAATGAGGGAAGTCGAACCCGATATATCGAAAGAAAGTGTAGTGAGAAAAATCAATACAATGCGAGGAAGCTTCCGCAAAGAATGGAAAAAAGTAAATAAAAAAATATCCGGTATGGGCTCGAAAGAGGTATATGTACCGAAATCGTGGTATTACAATTTACTGCTAGGTATTTGTTTAAGATCAAGATGCACCTGGTATTAGTGAAATATGACTAAAGAAAAGAACGTTTCTATAGATGTAAGTAAATTTTATTTTCTTTATAAGTATCTAATTATTAATTACATATTATTAGATGGAACGATGGTGATTTATAAATCAATAATAACTGTGGTTCCTGACTAACTTCGATAACGGTGATCAATGACTAGATATATCAGATACAGTTTATTCGCTTAGCTAGGGCATATTTTGACAGACTCATTGTAGGAAACCTACAACACAACAATTCCTACTTCTCAGTATAAATAGCTCAAGTATACTACTATTGCAGACCTCTTTCTTTGAAAAAAAGAAGAATTATTCTAAATAGTGGAAGTGTATACTAAACCCATCAAATTTTCGCTGTATATTTAAAATATAATATTTGAATTGTTACAATTTAAAATATTGTAGTAAATATTTGTATTATTCGCGTTGTTTATTTAATTTAATATAGTTTTATTGTTTTATTATCTTTGTTTAATTCTTTTGTTAGTTCTATTCAGCTAATTAGTTAATGAGTTATATTTTAAATTTTATTATTATGGATAGTCAAAGTTTTCCATTTGTTACATCAGCTAATGCGTTGGTAAGTTTTTCTTAATAAATATGATAAAATGTTTTTTAAAAAGTTTTTTTAAAGTTAATATTTTTAGATTAGTAAGGATGCTGTTCCTAGATTACAAGGTAATAAAACTGCACAAAGGTTTATTCAAAATGCCTACCATTTTTTTTTACCGAATGAAAACCCTGTTGATGTAAGTTGATCATTAAAATGTATTTATCGAATTATATAAATGTTGTAAATACATAAGGAACTTGCTGTGTCTTATTCTTATTTAACCTCACTTTGACTTGTTAATTTTGTAGAACTTAATCCCACTTTCTTATTTTGTACAATAAATAATTTTATTATTTGTTATCAATACATTATACGGTGTAAATAAATAAATATTGATTGTCGGCAAAGTTCTATTTTATTTACTTTTGTTTACATTAATATTGACTAAGAGCACGTATGCTTGGTTGTATAGTATTTTCCAGCCACTTCGAGTCTGTCAAAAAGTAACTAACTTCGCAAAAAAATAATTACTAAAATCACTAGACAGTTCGGACTGGGATTAGCGAACCGGGTATATCAATTTCACTGTTGCTGTTGCTTGATTGATGTTGGCAACGCTGGTCTGCTGGTCAGATTATTCTTGAATGTTTTTGTTTTATTTCTACAACTATCAATCAGCTGTAATCAGCTTAATAATCTGTCAATAATTATGTTGTTGGTTTATGAAAGCGATAATCTTCATCTAATCTTCTCTACTTTAATTAATACATATTTCATGTCATAAATTGCTGTTTGTACTACACATGTCCTAGATTATTATAGTAAATTATTGAAATTTTCGAATTATGCTAGAATATTTTTATTGGGGAGTTAAAGTTGATCACCTGTTATTTAAAGGATTCGCGTCGCATTCCGTTCCGGGACTAATAGGACAATGTTTATTTATTGGATGTCTGGCTTTTCTGTTCGAGTTTCTAAGGTATGTTCAAACAAAACAAAAACAGAAGGAGCTCATTCTCAGGGTCAAACAGTTGAAGCTAATCTGTACCACTGAATGTGCGGCCCTAATTGCCCAGAGGGTAATCAATCCTCAGAACCCTCTAAACATAACTCTTTTTGACAGGTATGCATATTTTGTATTTTTTTAAATATAAAAATAATGATGATGATAGTGTGTTTGGCATGGAAAATAGTCCTTTTGCAACAGATTTTTAAATGATTTATGTTATGTTTATGAATTAAAACTTGATTGTACCAAATTTATATTATATATCTGGATGTGATTAACATCACACTGGGAAATATTATCTCATAAACACTTCCCTGATTTTATAATGTTTAACAGCACTGTGATTAGTTTTTAATCTTGCGATAGTGATAGTTGCTGCTGATCGTTTAGATAAATTATAATAGAATATTTGTGGTAAGTAATTCTGTTAGAGATGGTAACATAGGATGAATCTTGTAATAATGATTATTTGAAATATTCGCCAATATTTTCCAACTGTCTTGCCAGTTACAATTTATTTTTTTATTATAAAAATTGATTAGATCTGATACTGTGTAAATATGTTCTTGTATACCTGAATGAGTAGAATCTTTCTTGAGCTTGCATACTATTTCATTACCTTTTATCCCGGAGTGACTTCTTGCCCAAATAAATGTTACATCTTTGTTTCTCATTTTTTGTTTAATGTCACATATCAGCTCACATGTCTTATGGTTTAACTCAGTATTATTAAGTCCACTAAGAACTGACTTAGAGTCTGAGATGATCACAGCATCTTGCAAATTTGCGTGCTCTAGCCAATCCAGAGCTTTTCTAATAGATAACGCTTCTGCAGTGTAAATAGAGCAATGTGGAGGAAGCTTTATTTTAAGTGATTTGTTTTTGGAAGGAATGTACACTGCAGACCCTACCTTCCCATCGTTTTGTTTAGAGTCATCTGTATAAATTATAGTTTTATTAGTATATTCACTCAATATGGAGTTCAACAACTTGTTATTTATTTGATGTGAATCTGAATATTTTGGAAATATAATATTTGATTTTTTGAAGATCATATTAAATTCTAATTTATAAAATGGTATAATAAAATTTGTTAAAAGTGTAACTGGTAAATCATTGTTTTCCAGAAAGGCATCCGCCAATGGTAGTGAATTTTTTATTTTCCAATAATTGTTTACTACTATTAAACTAGATTTAGATTTTGTATGGATAATTCATACTCATACTTGGTAAGCCGCTAGTTCTAGTCCTTAATTTTAATACATATTTTGTTGCTAATAAATTTCTACGATTTTCTAATGGCATTTCATTACTTTCAGCAAGTAACAGAGGGCATGGTGTTGATTTCATAGCACCCAAAGTTATTCTTAAACTTTTAAACTGAATATGATGTATTTTTAGTAAATGTGTATTGCTTGCTGACCTGTGACACATTTAACAACATTGATGATTTTATCACATCTTTTTTTACATATTGGACATGATTGGACCATATTAATTTGGGGTCTAGGATTACACCAAGATATTTATACTCACTGACAATGGGTATATCATATCCTGACAGGTTTAGACTAACAGGCGTACATATCCTATATATGTCTTGTAAATATCATAATGGTAGATTTTTCTGGGGATAGAGTAAGTTCATGATCTTTAGTCCAATTATCCACTAGTTTCACGATGTGCTCCAGAACCTTCACACAATCGTCATATGAATCACAGATGGAGTAAATACATATATTATCGGCATACTGAATACATTTTATGGAATCAACAAAAATGCTGTGTATACTTGCCGAAAATATGTTTATTTATTTATTTATTTATTTATTTATTTATTTATTAGCAATAGTACAGTGTAAATACACATACTAGACAATAAATCACATTTCAGTAAGAAAATAGTAGTAAAAATTAACAATAATTTAGTTTCTTTTTCACCTCCTTAACACTAAATCCTACTGCTAACCGTTTTTACACACAATGATATCTTGGATATTGTGAGTGTGTCATTTCCCATATCATTTACAATTAACTAATGAGGTTTTTATCAATCATTTAACAAAAAATAATAAAAACAATATAAACTAAACATACAATTTTTCTAATAAAATTAAACTAAAAGTAATTTTTTGTTTTAAATAGTTCCCTATTTTATGTTGTCTCTAATCCATTTAAAGATTTCTTTTCTTACTTTATGGTAAGGTTTTGCCCTAATATTCTGTGGTAACTTATTAAATAATTTTGGTCCTACAGTATATATATATATTATATATAGTATATGTATTAATGTACACTTATACAATTAGTTACATTATACTATTAATATACAGTGTATCTATTTTACTTTATAATATATATATATTATATATAATTATATATATAATATATATAAATATATATAATATATAATATATATATTTTGACATATTATTTTTAGATTATATCTTTTATCTTATTTAGTTATACATTATATAGTATATTATACATGCTACTAGATATACTTTATAATAATGTATTTTTTAACATAAATCTAATTACACACTTATTATACAGTTGATCAATATTTAATATTTCACTTTCTCTATATGATAAGTTAGTTGCATACCTTCTATTTTTGAAAAGCATCATTTTTATGACCCATTTTTGTGCTATTGTGAGTTTTGAAAGAATTGTTGTACCCGCATTTCCCCAAACTACTATGCCATAACCAATTACAGATTTTATAAATGGATAATATACCTGCTTAAGTACTTTAAAATTTAGTATGTTTCTTAGTTCGTAGAATTTAAAAATAAGCTTTCTAACTTTATTAGTTACATAATTTATATGTTCTTTCCATTGAAAAGTTTCATCAATGTATTTATTTATTTAGCGTATGGCTACATCACATGTTCATATAAATATAAATATATAAATGATATAAATTACAAACAACAGTAAATATAAAAAAATATTATTCTACAAACAAACATCTAGATTATAAATATACTCGATTGACTCTTTTGTAGCAGCCAGGAAATCTGAAGGGTTGCCATTATAGGATCTAATCGGGCATTCCTCTACCATGTGTTTTACTGTTTGCCTTTCGATGCCGCAGTCGCAATTTGGTGATTGTATTTTTCCCCATCTAAAAAGTGAGTCGGAACATCTGCCACAGTTCGTCCTTATTCTATTGAGTGTGGTCCAAATTCGTCTCGGTTGGTTGAAGCCCTCAGGTTCACTTGTAATACATGGCATGTTCCAGTTAGCTGGTGCAGCGTTATTCTCCCATTGTTCTCTCCACCGTTCAGTTACATTAAAGTTTTGATCTACTAGCCTTTTTGCTGTTTTTAGAGGCGGGTGTCTTGAACGGAGCCTATTTATGTCTCTGGCGGAAGTTCCGACATGGGAGCGGAGCTCAGGATCAGTATTGATTTTTGTAAATTCTCTGACAAGGGCATGTTCCCGGCGGATGGGTGGTGGAGCTATATGACTCAAAGCTGGTAACCAGTAAGTGGGCGTGGCCTTGATTGTGCCCGATATAGTTCGCATGGCTTGGTTGAGTTGGACATCAACACGGTGAGTATGTGGACTGTTTATCCATACTGGTGCACAGTATTCCGCTACGGGGTATACCAGTCCTAATGCTGTCGATCTAAGTGTGGGTGCTGAGGAGCCCCATGTAGTGCCGCAGAGCTTTTGCAGGATGTTGTTACGAGTTCGGAGTTTTGCAGCAGTCTTAGTAAGATGCTCTTTAAAGTTCAGCGTTCTGTCAAGTGTAACACCTAAGTATTTTGGGTGTTTATTATATTTAAGGAGTCTATCCCCAAAATTGATTTGAGGTTGATAGTTGGCCATCTTGTTATATAAATGGAAGCAGGACACTTCTGTCTTAGTTGGATTGGGTTGCAATCTCCATTTTCGGAAATAATTCCCTAGGGCATTTAAATCGTTTGTTAGAATGCGTTCAGTGACCTCGAATTCTTTATGACTTGCGGCAAGCGTCCAGTCGTCTGCGTATCCAAACTTTTTTGATGTGGTTTCTGGCATGTCTGCTATATAGAGGCTGAAAAGCAAGGGGGCCAGCACGGATCCTTGTGGAAGTCCATTATTCAGTTTTCTTTGGGTACTAGCCTTGTCTCCCAATATAACTTTAAAGCCTCTGTTGGATAGCATGGCGTTAATAACCTCAGTGGTCTTTCTGCATGGGATTATTCGCATTAATTTATATATTGCCCCTTGTCGCCACACAGTGTCATAAGCAGCAGATAGATCGATAAAGACAGCGGTTGTTTTTGATTGCTTTTGAAAGTTTGATTCCACATAATTGGTCAGGGCGAGTACCTGGTCTGTGCAGCTGCGGTTTGGCCGAAATCCTGCCTGTTCCACTGGTAAGTGTTGGAATATGGTTTTGCTGATTCTATTATACAACAGTCTTTCGAACAATTTGTACACCATACTTAAGAGTGCGATGGGGCGGTAGTTTTTCGGTGAATTATTACTTTTCCCTGGCTTATATCATCAATGTATACTCCCAAGTACTTTAAAAATTGTGTCCTTTCAACTACTTTATTACAACTATCGTTATTATCTAATTTACAGCCCACTTTATGTAATTTAATGTTTTGAAAATCTGGCAATGAACGAGTAGACAGCGAGAAAGTGATAATCTTAGTTTTCTCAACATTTAGTGAGAGTAAGCTATCTTCTAACCACCCATTAATTTTTTGAAAAGCCAATTCAGCATTTCTTTTTACCGCGTCCCAATCATCTCCACTAATTACAGCCACAGAATCATCTGCATAACAAAAGATGTCATCTTTATCTAGCAATGACATAATTTCATTTATATATACATTGAATAACAGAGCTGACAACACAGTACCCTGTGGCACCCCTACCTCTAGTTCCAGTTTTTCACTTTCTGTCTCTGATATTTTTACACTTTGTTTCCTGCCTGTTAAATAAGATTTTACTAAATTATTAGGAATACCTCTTATGCCTATCATATCTAAACGCTTTAAAAGAATTGGGTGTGCTACAGTGTCAAATGCTTTGCGAAGATCCATGAATATACCTATTACTTTCTTAACTTCATCAAGTTTTTTTTGTATTTTTTCTGTAACTTTACA